AACGTGGCCTCAGAGAGTTATTTCTCTGCCTAGTCAGTGTCTTTAAGTTGAAGTTCTTATGAAAGTCGCCCAGTTATACTTCCAATATCCAATATCGTTTTTATGAGCTGGTATAAACCAATTTGATTTCTGTGTGCTCGCCTTCGATTATGAGGTAAACGTCTGCGTAGCTGGTCCCGCCACTCGACTGTCGTAGCTTTGGTTGACTCCAAAAGGAGTAGCGCAGGGATTAATTGAATGTGGTTTGAAGAATGAGGTGTGTTAAGGCTGTTACTACTGTGAATGGAGTTGATCCTTTCACCAGTTGGTCCTTCGGTATCGTCGTCAATAGAAAAGAGATAGTAATAATAATAATAATAGATATAATTAGTGAAGGTATTCAGACTAACAGACAAAAAAAGAATAAGAAAACGTAAAAACAGTCAGTCAACCGGTATATATATACCAGTAATAATGATAATAATAATAACAGGTGTAGTTAAAGCTGTCAGGAGAGTAAGACTGAAGAGAATGTAAAGAAGTAAAACGACCAGTTTAATTGTCTACCCCTGAATGGTGTATGCGATTTTAAGGGGATAGGCCATTTGGATGCAGTCCTTGTGTCGCTGCATGGTTGTCCAGCCTTCGCTTAAAGGCGTCCACAGATGGTGCCACAGCTACATCTGCCGCTAAGGAATTCCGGGGACGGCAAACCCGCAGGGAAAAGTGGGAGCGCACCCGGGTCCTTGCCCTCTGATAGGCTATCCTTCTAGGATTTCCACGAGGGAGCTTATACCTACTCAATGGCAGAACACCTTTGTTTGGGTGATTCTGATCATTTTTAGCAGTAATTAAATCCCCCCTAAGACGACGGTAACTAAGTGTGAATAGGCCTAATTTCTTCAGCCTTTCATCGTATGGCTTATTTCGGAGACCAACCACTCCTTTTGTTGCCCGTCGTTGGACTCTTTCCAAGAGGTTGGCGTCTCTTCTAAGCAGTGAGGGTGCAATGATATTATGCACTTCAAGGTGCGGTCTGACGTATGTTTTATACAATCTTAGAAAGAGCTCAGGAGTGAGTGCACCCAACTGTCTGTGTGTAAAGTGTATGACCGCATATGCCTTCGCTACATTCCCCGTGTAATTTACGCTTGTGTCCATTTTCTCCGTTAGAACTAGACCTAAGTCAAGTTCCGACGTTGAGCAGGACAAGCTTTCATTGCACAGGGTGTAACTTGCATTCTGCAGTCTACAGGTGCGTAACTTCACAACTTTTCACTTTTTCAGGTTGAAAGTCATGCCACTGGCCACCGACCAGTCTTCCAGAAGCCTTAGATCTGCCTGCAGTCTATCTGAGTCCTCCGGACACTTTATCGCCCTCCATATCTTCACGTCATCAGCGTATAAAAGAGTCGGGCAGCTTAGATGGCATGGTAGATCATTGATAAAAATCAAGAACATCAGTGGTCCCAGGATAGAACCCTGCGATACTCCTGATGACGAGCTGTGCCAAGATGATCGGACTCGATTGACCTTGGTGCAAAATTGCCTTTCAGTTAGGTAGTCCTTCAACCATGACAGAAGTGGTTTACCTAGACCTACCTGGCCTATTTTGTGTAGAAGAAGGTCATGGTGAACAGTGTCAAATGCCTTCTGAAAGTCTAGAAAGATCACATGGACTGGAACATTCATATCCACATGATGTCCAGTCGTCCCAAGCTGATAATAAGTTAGTAACGCAGGATCTCCCTTTCCTGAAACCGTGTTGGGCTTCATGGAGTATTTTAGACCGATCGAGATATTTCCTGACGTGGTCGTCAATAATACTTTCCAGTACTTTTGATACCACTGGGAGTAGAGCTACTGGTCTATAACTAGTGGGATTTTGCCTATCCCCACCCTTGAAGATCGGAGAAAGGATGCTTCTTTTCCATCCCTTTGGCAGTTTACCCGATTCCATGGAGTGTTGGAACAAGTCGCATAAGGGCCTACAGAGAGCTTCGGCGCACTGTTTCAGAACAGATGGCCTGATGTCGTCACAACTTGGGGACTACCCAGGTGTGATTCGCTGCAGCTTTCTCAGTACTATTGCAGGGTTTATTAGGGGGTGGCTATTTGGTCTTCCTCCTGTGAAATAGTGGTGCCACCATTTTGTTCCGTAACGGTAATACCCACATTGCTGTTTAGCTGTTTGGCGAAGGCTAAACTGAATGTTTCAGCCATCTCCAGACTAGTGAGATATTGACCGTTTTGGCCTACTAAGGTGCATGCCCCCTGGTTGGTTGGTTTTCTTTCCGACATGAATCAGTACAAGTTCTTGGGGTTTTCCAGGAGTTTTTTAGCAAGGTTAGCCTGGAATGACCTCCTGTCCCTCCTGACTCTTGCATTGCACCGGTTCCTGAGTTCCAGGTATGCACCATGGTCGATCTGGCCCTTAGATACGCGCCACGTAAACCAAGCCTTCCGCTTTGCTTGCAGAATACGCTGCGTGCCTCTCTTTAACCATGATGACTTTCTTTTGGGCTGTGTTGTGACTAAAGGGACAGTATCCGAGATTACTGTATGAATAATCTTTTTTATCACTTCCCAGTGTTCATCCACAGACAGCTCATCCCATGCTAAGGGCCAGTCTGCGTCGGACAAGAGCCTCCGCATTTCAGCATAGTCAGCCTTGCTGTGACACAGACATGGTTGCGTAGCGTCCCACTACAAATGCTCACGGAGAACGAGGTCGAAACCTATGACTGCATGGTCACTATTTCCTAGAGGAGTCATGATCTGGACCTTTTCGACGAGTAGTTGGTCACTAGTTAGAATGTAGTCTAGTTTTGATGACTTTCCACTAGGACCCCACCTAGTGTCGTCTCCAACGTTCTCAGTCAGTCCCGTGTTCCGAATAGCTTGCCGTAGATTTCGGCCGAATTTTCCCCTAGCATACCCCGAGCCAAGGTTCAGTGATGGGGCATTGAAATCTCCAGCAATGGTGATTTGGTCATAGCCCAAGTCTCGTATCCCTGTGATAGTGCTAAGCAGTAGCTGATTGTGCTCTGCCCCACAGGTGGGAGATCGGTAGATGCCACCAAGTAAATGCTTGGTGTAGCCTACGGTGAAATGACACCATATGGAGTCTGGGAGTTCAATAAGTGGTGGGTTCGTTGCGTGCACACATTTAAGTTGCCTGTCAAAGTATATAGCAACTCCCCCTCCTTCCTTATTACCCCTGTCTCTCCTGACCAAAACCATATCACAGATACTGATTTCATTATGGGCGATAGTGGCGGTTAGCCATGTTTCAGTGAGAATGATCATTTTCAGTTGTAGGTGTGCTTGGAGATTTCTAAGTTCACCTGTTTTTCCTCTCAGCCCCCTCACATTGCTACATAGGCAGATGACAGTGAGTCTTACAATCTCAGCGTGTGGTGGGGTAGTTGACGTGAAGCTGTCTGCTGGTAGGGGACTTAACGTTGAGACTAGCTGGCCAGTTCCGATGGAACCGGCCCGTTGTGGTTTTTTCCCATGGATTTAGGCAGGACACTTGGGTGACACAGACTGTTATTCTCAGAACTGCATCGCTCTAGTGTCACTGAAGCTTGGGGACGTATTAAAGCCTCAGTTTGCGGCCTCCTTATGGTTCAAGGTATGCTTTCGCAGCATCATATGTGTCCTCCCAATTTCCCCCTGATCTCATACCACCGTTGAAGTGCTATGGCCAACTGCTCTGGGGAGTTGAATGTGACACTTTGCAGCTTTGGGGAGCTAATCAGTGTGAGATGAGCTGGGCGAGGTAGTCGGGAAATGGAGATGGCTCCAGAAGCACCAAGGGCCATCTGAGACGACAGCCATCTTCACTGCTGTACGTCATGCATGTGTTTTTCACAGGCAGTGCCCGTTTCCAGCTCCGGAACACGGTGTACCACCATAGAGGTAGGAGGCAAAAGTTCCGGTGACTCCCTCGCCACTTGTGATTCTCCTTTCGAGAATCGATCATTTTATTACTCCAAATATAAAAATCATTTCAAAACATTATGTATCTTAAAATCGACTGCATATGCAGGTCTTAGTTCCAAAATGGAAAGAACAAGACTTATATCATCAACTCACTAGAATTACCTCGTGTCTCAAGAGGACCTTGCAGACTGCAAAAGGTGTTAAGCGGACAGGTATTATTCATTATGAAGCAAACGAGGATGTTTCTTTTGAACATGCTATGGTGCAAGTGAATCAAACGAACCATAGTGAAAACTCTTCAGTGGGCACATTTCTAGTTAAAATCAGCAGTCAACAAAATGGCCACTAAGAAGAAAACCAGCGACAGCTCAGAACAATTGTCCAACCTGACATATTGTTCTTAATAAGTTGTAAATGCTTGCGAGTTTTTGATGTCTGAAGTATTAAGTCTCCTAAGAATATAATTATCCCGCATACCACATATTTCTCATTGTGCAGAATTTACGTGTGAAAGTTTGTTCACATCAAAACACCCGTGGCTTCGTGAAGTAAATGCTGGTGGTCAACAAAGTTAAAGTATACTCCCGGAGGTCGTTCATGAAAACTACTGAAAGCACGAAGATTGTTCTCCAGTTTTAATAGCCAAAACTAAATGTAGCCTTCAAGATCGGAGGTGATTTGCTTCAGTTAACGCTGTTAGCTCCACTAGTAGACAAGCGCTTTCATGAAGCAGCTGGACAGACACGCCCAATGCCTTTCATAAATCGTGAGTGTCTCCTGGAAATGTGAATCAAGCAGTTTAGCGTGAAACTACTCATCTGTCAAGATTTTCATAACTAAGGAAAAGCATTTCCTATAAAAGACTCAAATTTCAGCCAGCAGAGTCTTATCCATTCTATTGGAAAGAGCTTATTGCTGAAACTAATTTTGACTGACGTTTTTATGCGTTTGCATTTGAAACAGTAACTACTCAAAGATGTCTGAGAAGAAATAAGCTTGTCGCCTACACTGATTTACTATTATTGGCAATAAAGTCAAAATATTGGACATTGTACTTTATTGCGTTTTGATGCTTTAGTTACACATTTTACTAGTAACTACCACCCTTTTGATTTAGTTTGTGTCCTCTCAAATGGCGAAACCGCTTGTTAACTGGGGAGAAGTGAAGAAGCATCAGTCATTAAAAGATCGCTGGATTGTCATTGACAACAAAGTTTATGACGTCACAAACTGGCAGAATAGACACCCAGGAGGAAGAAAATTGCTTGGACACTATGCTGGTCAAGACGCTACTGTATTTCTCTATATTTAGATGCTGACTTCTATTTTAGGATGCATTTATTGCCTTTCACAAAAACCGTGAATATGCCGAGAAATTTTTGCATGCTTACCACATAGCTGACTTGGACCTCCAGTGTTCGGAAGATAGAGATATTAATTTAAGACGGAAAGAGTATTTTGAAGACTTGGAAAATGTTCGAAATATTTTGAGGGAACAGGCAGGTCTAGTATTCAATATAGATATTTTGTAATTGTTAATATTCGGCTTTTTTATCACTGGTAATGAAGTGAATTAATTAACGGGCTACTCACGGTTCATCGATTGACATCTTAAACAAGATGAAATTGTGAATATGCCGAATTCATCAGTGGTTGTCTTTCGTGTTTTAGTATAATAGAATGAGCTTTTGTGATAAGAAAACACAGTTGAGAAGAAACCGAGAGAATCGTCTAAGTAAATAGATGTGAAAGGATTAATGCTTCACTTCACACATATTAGTTCGTTTGTTGAACTTACTCTAGATTAACACTATTATGGCTATGACTTTTTCAGTGCAAAACTTTAATATTTCCTCTTGAATGTGTTACAGACAGTTGTCAGAACTTAGAAACTTTGATAAACCTATCATGTACATCGAAATACTCCTTTAAATATATATTTTGTTTGTTGGTGATCGTTCATAGAAGCTTTGGTTGCTGCTGCATGGAGCTAATTTTTAGTTTTATGAAGTGTGTTACTTAGTAGGTGAATGATAACTTACACATTCGTAATGAAGGAGAGGCCCCTTTACACACTCCATCTCTAGGCAACACAAGTCAGTTTTTCAGTTTAAGGGCTGAATCACTCAAACTATCTCAAAATGCGAGTAAGCTTGAACACGGAACTGAACATGCTTTTTATTGAAGTCAAAATATTTTATGAAAGAGTACAATAGCTTTCAAATAAATCCAGATGCAGTTTGTTTGCTGTCACTGAAGCCTAAATATGTCTTATATGTTACTATTTAGGAAATAGGTTAATCCAAACCCTTATTTTGAAAGCAAATATCTGAATCATGTAGAAAATGTTGTCAATCAAACGGTTGTTTATTTTTGGTAGAAATCCTAACTGTCTTTAACAGTATGGATGCAACAAGCCTGGTATTTTTTAAATAAATTAAATTCAATTTGAACTTCCTAAAGAAAGGTGACTGAAAGAAGCGTCTTTACTGTAGACAGCGTAACGAGTTCACAAACTACCTAAAACAGCTCATATACGTAGTAAATTAGGGTTTATTAATAATATTTTCCTTGACTACTCAACATTTCCACTAATTCTGTTGTTTACCATAGAAAAGCTGGATTGTTTTATTTTCGTATCTTTACGAGCACACATTCCAGTTGATTGACAAATAACATGACTTTTTATTAGTACGTCTTAATAGTTTTTAGTGGCTTAAAGACAAGGCTGGTGGGAAAACAGTTAACAGGAAAGTCGGTTATGTTTTAAGATACTGAAAAAACAGCTACTGACAAATTTGTTAGTGCATTTTTCAAGATGCGTGCTAATTCCATCTAGGGTATTAGCTTTCATTCATCACAAAACTGTATTGACACTATTGGAGGCCAACTAGCATTGTTCTTGCTTTGGATTAGGTTATTTGGAATACGCCAAGGCAACGTTACTGGAATAATAGGGAGAACCGTCTACTTAATGCTTTCAGTTCATTTAAAAAGATTTATGTTCACTTTTGCTCATATCAGTTATCAAGATAATTGGACAGAAGTCCTACTTCAACATACTGATACAGAGCATCGTGTAAAGACTAGTAAATTCTTCATAATAACTGCCATTCATAGCTACGTGACTCTTGTGGGCTTTAAGTATCTGCTATAATCATAGCTTTGTAATTACATTCATACGTCGGTTTTTCACTTTCCTGATGTCTTCGAAAATGCTTTAGTGATACCAACTTTCCAAATTCATCAGATGTTTTATTGGATAGTGCGGTTCACTAGCTGCAGTAATTTGAACCAGCGAGTTCGACTGTAATACCTCAACAAATAAACGCACTAGTAAGCATTTACCCGTAGAATATGAATCCCAGTTTACCTCATAAAGCACCTGCAACGACTATCTATCTTTCATCATGCTTCTCAAATATCATCAAATTTGACCAGACGTATTACTTTTCGTCTAGTGTATGTTCAGTCAGTTAGTACACACATTTATTTCATCTTTTCACACGTTACCATCTTCATTTTCTTTCATATAGCCCCAGCTTTTTACTTCTGTACGTAATGAAATCACCTGTTTACCGACTTTTCTTAAGTAGACTTTAGTAGCTTGCGTTTTATTCACATACATCTTTATATGTATTGAAATATAAAAACTTCGAATACCTTATAAGCCCTGATTTGATATTTTGGACAAGAAAATTCAAATTTTGTAAGTTACTAGTCTACTTTTTAATTTCCTGTTATAATAAGTCCGTGAGTAATTTGTTGAGTATCTTGAATACAGGTTGTTATTAGTTACACAAGCTGCATTATATCCATTAACATGCCTAGCTATCTTATTATTTGCCACAACTTTATTTATACTATTGCATGTGAAGAAATTAATGTTGTGTTTGTTCTTGTTTTTATAATAGGGTTTATTCGAAAGCAGCAAACTGTTTTTCGGTGCAATGATGCTTCAAGTATTTCTTTTGGAGTTGCTAGCCTATCTTAATTTGATATATTTTGGAAATAGTTGGTCATGTATAATAATATCAATTTTGCTTTACGCAATATCTCAGGTATGAAAATTTACACTGAATGTTCTTTATCTTTTTATTCTATGACTCATTAAGTAGACTAATATAGTAATATTTAATTATGCGTAGCAATAGACTGTTCATATAATTGTGAAAATGACTTGAAGCACAAATTAGTGTGTAAATAAAAGCTGTGCAAAACAGAATGTCGCTTGAAGTTTCAAAACTCCAACATAACACTAGAGATATTTCTGTGTTGTGGCATGTTATGCTCTGGTAATTCACACCTCATAGACTGTAATCAGTTTTGAAATCCGTACGTTTTAGGAAATAAATGCATGTAAAACAAAATATTATGCTTGTAAGAAGGAGATTAACTTTGTTTTCATTGGACTGTATTTACAGGGATTATTAACTGCAAGATGAAAACGATCTGGAAAATTGCTTTTACCAAACATACTCTAACTCTCCTGATGACTCCACAAATGTATTTAAATAATAAAAAAACAGTTAGTTTAAATATATAGGTGGATAGGATTAACTTAAAAGGTCTTATATCGAGTTTGACAGTGCACTACATCGTTTAGAACAAGATTACTCTTGAGTTATAAATCTCATAACTAATTCACATACCACATTTTTTTTCAACATGAAGACAAACTCAAATTTAAGTAGTCTGCACATTTCACACACTCCTATATTGTAATGTGTAGTGTATTTTAACCATTTACAAGCGCACAAATCAAAAAATATCCCATTGCAAGCTAACAAAGGCGTTTAGAACTTCAGTCTGTTGTCTTCTGAAGGAAAAGAAAACTTTCGCTACACATTATGTTTTTAGAAAGTAAAACTTTACAGTAGTACAGTAATATTTGCCTTAGTTCCAAAATTGGTTGCAAAAGTATTCCAAAGTCTTAATGCTTCTTTAGTGATATATATTCACTGGTGGGAAATGTTTTGAAATGGTTGCTTCCTTTAGCAAACTTGGTAGTGTTATTAGAAGAATAATTGTCTCTGAAAGGTGTATTTGTAAATTTGTACATTTCTGACAGACTAGTCATAAATTAACTTTTGAAGTCAATTTCTTTGGAAATAATGCAATGAAAAAGTCAACTAATAAATAAGAGAATTAATAGTTGGGAGGACGATAAAGTAGTAATAATTAGAAGATAATATAATCAGGTAAAGATAACCAAGGTAAGTTAAGTGTAATAACAAAATCGATTTTTCACGCGGTAAATGACCTAAAATTAGTGGATGGCTTTTTCATTTCAATAAATCTCAGTATATCTCTATATGAAATCTTCAAACCTGGCCTAATATCAGTCTTATCACTTATTCCCTCGCTGTTTTGTTCCTGCACCCACACACACATGTAAACTTGGAGTAGTACGTAACCATTTATACATTGCTGAGCTTTGTAGTGGAGTGCGTATTTAGTTTCTTCAATGACGATGAACCGAACCGCATAGTATCTTTTTTTGTAAATCGAGTTTGATTAAACCACATTCTCGATTGAAAAAAGGATCCAGGGAAGCAGGTTGTTTGCTGTTCTCCTCTCCTTACTTCAGCCTAATATAATCTTGTGTCACACTGATTCTTTTTACCAAATATGCCGCACCTTTTTACGCATCACATATTCCAACAATATTATTGATATATTTCCTACCAAAAGTTGTCCACAGTCAAGAAATCCCAACTCCGATATTATTTATAAATATATATACATATATATATGGCTGATGCAACCAGTCAATCCTCAGAAAGGTTCTTTTTGTAGACAGCTATCTTCTTTCAGAACGAAGTTCGGGATATTTATACCTCAAAAAGAGAAATTTTCAATTCATTTTCTTGACTTTCGATATACGAATATTTATGATAAGCGAAATTTATTATATGGAAGTTTTATTTGTTTTAAATGGCTAGTATTTGCATTAGTTGTGCAATCAATACTTTTCGACTTAGGTTCAATGTCAATATGTAAGGTACACAAATCAGGTATGATAATATATAAATGTAAACAAACTTTTATTAAACTCATCATTTACTCCTAAGAGTTACAAAAAAAAGAGGTGGTGAAATCATGAAAAGTGTAATTAATTATACAAAATAATTTGTTTTTCCGTTACAATTATTAGAATTATATAGAATTTAGAGGTAGTGGATTAGCACTTAATCAGTGGACCTAGTGAGACCTGGAGAATGCAACAATAACTTCTCTCTCCAGATAGATTTGTATGTATCAAACTTTGTTGTTAGGGATTTTGTGCTGTGTGAGTTCCATGATTTCATTGCAAAGCTTTTATTGTCCTTCTAAACAGCATATTCAGAATAAAGTGGGCTTTTTGAAATTCTCCATTAATGAGACAATCATCTATTCTGTTGACCTTAACATGATTGGTTTTCTACATCAACCGAGAAAAAAATTAGATTGATCATAGTGTATCCCCTCTTCATCTTTTTACATACAAGCACAAATTAGCAGTCAGAAAAACATGACATTTAATCTATCATGTCAACATATGTAAGCGATTGCAGATACCAGTTGGAGAATTATGTAGGTTCAAGACTCACAAAACACCTGAAATTCCTAGGAGCTTGATACTCAGATGAATTTGCAATTGACAGACGTATTGATATGTATCAAGTAATGAAAAACAAGTCAGACACTTCAAAGATCTAATATCATTTCAACAACGCAACCATTATCACTGCAAAAAACAAGTAAACTGCAGTGAAAACCACTCACAGTCAAGAGTAGCAGGAAAAAAAAGATTATTTATTAGTGCGAAACTCCTTAGAGTTCACTTCGTTTTGAAGTTAATGGTGACGATGCTTAGGAAGATGGTGAACGTTTCACAAGTAAACCATCCACCTCAGTCACCAGTCAGCAAGACGTACCTGAAACCTTGAAGGAACTCACGTACCTCCTGAGATTCGAACCCACATCACCCAGTGCTGCAGTCAGAGACGTTACCACTGAGCTATTCGGGCTGGCGATTGACCTCCTGTAGGACTGTAGTGGATACTTTGATTGGACACTGGTTACTAGTGTGATGTGTCTGGCTAGTCCTTTGTTTAGTGCAGACTGAATTCTATCAGTATGTTTATATTTGATGATTTATAGTTATGATGTCAGTGATTACCTTTTGTTAACAGCTAATATTCTAATCTTCAATAAGATTTACTGTACAATGCCCTTTTGTCCTAGCCTTGACTGAGATTAAATGAATATTATTACTTATGTGCCTGCATTCACGAGACATTCGTTATGAGTATCTTGTGCAGATGTTCCGCTTCTTTTTAGTAATTAAGGTCCCATAAACTACTTTCTTATGGTTCGGGGTTCGATCCCCAGTCGATGTACTCCTTTACCTCACTAAGCCAATAATAAGACTGGTAAAGAGGGAAGTTTGGGCATGAGGCTTGCAGCCCCATCCCTTAAAAATAAACACCACTGCTACCAAAACTTCAAGCCTCTAGCTTGAAGCCCTATATTCCACTGGGAACGTGAAAGAATATTGAAAAAACTACTTTCTGCTGTGCATGGTTTCTGCCACTTTGACTTAAATTTACACTTATCAACCTTTGTGTATGATTTTGCTCAGGTAACTGAACTCTGTCATTCTTAGGACGTCTAATTAATATACCCAATAAAAGTATTGATTTGATTTAGCATGGTAAATACAGAAATAATGATATTTCCATCACCTCAGCATCTTAATGAAGAAACGAATAAACTATATTGCGTGAAATGGGATCTTTGTAAAATAATAACTGATCAGGTTATAATGCTATATGCAGAATTTGTTATGTAGTATTTTCTTCCGCTCATTCACTACAGTAAATCATACTATACTTCTCATTCAAGAGTTATGAAGGAGTAGCCAATATTTAGAATACGCAAACGTTTTTTGAACTATTTCTGTAAATGTATGATGAATGGCAGTGTCAGTCTGTATTTTCGCTTGTTTTGTTGAGAAACAACTTTGGTAACTATATTTTATCATATTAAAATTCATAGTAATAATTCCGTGTGAATAAAATAACAAATACATACTCCATTTCGGCAGAACTGCTTTTTGATCTGGCGGGTTTAATTTATTTTCAAATATCCTGACAAAATACTACATAAACATATTGTTCATAATAACTGTTGTACTCTCTTTTATCTTGTTACCTTAGACTCAAGCAGCTTGGCTTCAGCATGATTTGGGACATTTATCTGTATTTAAAAGTGTTAAAACAAATCATATTTTCCATGAAATTATACTTGGTTTCACTAAAGGAGCTTCTTGTCACTGGTGGAATCATATGCATTCTCAGCATCATGCAAAACCGAATGTGGTAAGTTATTTCTTCACAACGATTGTATTACACTATGAACTACTCCAATTCACTTGTTGTAAACCACCCACTTTTTTCTAATACCTTACCTTAAGCTTTTTTGAACAGTTATAGTAACAAAAAGACCCATTATGTTTTTGTCAGCTTTTGGCTGCTCTTAGTGATAATATGAGTATGACTATTTATTCGTTATGTGGAAAACAATCCAGGCGCGGCTTGTGAAATGATCAGAAAAGCTTTAGATGCATTAATGATATAAATTTTTTCTATTTACCTTGGTTAACCATGTAATAATGCAGTTTCTGCAGAACTGCATTCAATAATGGTGATGACAAGTAATGCTTTTGCTTTACAAGAGTACAAAACCATCAATGATTATTTATCTTCATACATTTATTCCCCTTTATCAGTTTGAATCAAGCAAGAACAACAGTTTGTGCAGAAATACATACTTCGTTGGCTTCTCATCAGCTGTGTACAGCCCAAAGATGTTATTAAGTTTATGTACAGAAACAGTTTTAACATACTTAGACAGAAAGTTCATTTTTAAACGAAAAATCAATATATTCAGACAGTGGTAATAATAATAATCACTTTGTCCCAAACAACAATAATAATCAGACACAATGGAATTTTCTGGCTTGGCCTAATCAAATGAAAGAGAGGATGATAACATCTAGTTACTAGGGGAAAGAAAGACGGATAACTGCTTCTTTGTGAACGCGTAAATTGGGTTTCAGGCGCTCATTTCAGATTGCTTCAGCAAACTTGAGGAGGATTGAACTCTTTTGTCTACTGATAATTTTGGACGATCTTGCGACGTCCACCTCATGACTTGTGTCAAGGAGATGTCTGATAATGATACTGCTGAAGTCATTTGTATTGTTTCTTAGTCTGACGCCTATCTTTATTTCTCCCAAGACATCTTCACTTTTGTTCATTGTAGCGTCTTTGGATCATTAAGTATCACTAAAATATTATCTGACATCCTTTCTGTACATTATTATCAATCTCGTTTACTTTTAGACCATTAATGTTTGATTTCTAGTAGGGAGATGATAGCTAAATGATTTGCCTGGTAACCAAACCAAAGTTAATTTTTTCACAAAATACATAGACCTCTGTATTAAAAAGCAATAAAACACTATCAAAATACACAATGACTTTGTGTAAGTGTATTTTTTTTCTTCACAATCATAAAACCCGCGTCCCCCAGTACTGCAGTCAGAGACGTTACCACTGAGCTATTCAGGCTCGCGATTGAGCTCCTGTAGGCAAACACAGAATTCTTCCGTGTAGTTCAGCATCAAATATTTTGACGAAAACTCTGCCTATATCATTCATTACCAGTACCTTAAACACATGTAGTCCCATCACAACGTATTACAGCGGACTTCTAGGTTAGGTTAACTTTGATGTACTCAGTGATGAAGCACACATCATGTAAACTAATTTGACTAAAATCTAAATATTAAGTATTAACTTTTATCAGATTTTTACTTATTGAGTTCTTTCAACTCTGGAACACCATTCTATAAGTAATCATTAGTAGTGAGCATTAAAGAGCTCTCAGAGATTTTTTGCTGTACTTCAAATGATTTGTCCACATGTAGAAAACTAGTTAATTTTCTTCTTCTTTTTTTTAACCAGCTGCTAAAACACCTGCAGGTTTAAATGTTTTATATTTCTCACGCAGTTGTGTGAGTATTTCCTATTGTACCTGTTTAATACATCTGAGTAGGGAATTAGTGTTTATCACAAGACAATAATTTATGTTAGGATAAATGCCATTATCAGGCGTGCGAATTCTATAGTATATTATCATAGTTTTTATTGCCTTTTTAGCGTTTTTTTTCTCCCAGGATTGTTTGTTGATGATGTGATTTGTTGTTAATTAGGACAATTTTATTACTAAATACATCGTGTTTTTCTCAGGACTTAGTTACAAATACTCCACTAGTTGGGTTTCTTTTGTGTTTGGTAAATCATGAAGTTTTCAAGTGTTGGTTTATTCGAGATTTGACATTGGTTGCAGAACCATTGGAAAATTAGGAAGTACTGAACAGCTGTCTTGTTCTAGTTTAAGACTCTTTAGCTTTACATATTCACCGGGATTCCACTGAGAAGTTGTGACCAGCCGGGTCCGCCAAGTTGAAAGGCTAATTACTACTCGATGACATTAACTGGTGGTTGCCCTATATATGTAGCGAACTGGCAGAAGTTGGAATTCATTAGCCATGGGAACGATTCTCAGTGTCTGAATGGTCTACGAACTCATCTAGGGTCCTGGGTTCGAACCCCAGGGGCTGCGCACTGATGAGGGGTCCCAAACTCGGACGAAACAGCTGTCTAGTACTCTCTGCCTTGCTTCCAGTGGTTCTCTAACTGATGCCAGCTGGTTGATCAAACCTATAACAAGTCATGGAGTGGCTACATCAAATCTGGCAAGGCTACACTTTATCCAATCCCTTTAATTTCTCCCTTTTCTAATAGTTTCATCAATCCCACAGAATGTGATTCTGTTCACTGTTCATACCCACAAATGTTTTGTGCACCATTTCGTCGTACTTTTAGGATGTAAATATATCAATGAGAAAAGTCACTATATATTTTCATTACATCAGTATCATTCAAATTTTTTTCAACATTCTATTTAAATACAGATCGATAAGGATCCAGATACACGACTAGAACCAGTATTTGTAGTAGGTGAAAATCTTCCGAGGAGAGCAGCTAGTTCTGAAAGTAAATGGTCATGGCATTTCCCTTACGAATACCAGCATAAATACTTTTTCTTGAGTAAGTGATTTTTTTTGGTGTCGATAATACCTTTCTGGCTTTGTTCAATCTCACTAAGAACTGCTTTTTTCAAAATGTTTGGTTAATCTGTTATATACTAGATTTCTATGGTCATTAGAGCATGACACTGAAATAAACTTGATATAACTACCAAAACCCAAGTATTTCGATCTGAATGCAGGGATTCATTTGATGCGATCTTCTGTATAGCTTGTCAAACTTCCACGAATCACATACCGCCCAAAATTTTATTGTAATAATGTTAAAAAACCTTCTAGCTTGATAGAGTCTGATACTCAACAATGCCATCCAGCAACTATACAGTCCAAAAGTTTCTCAGGTACATAATGTGTACTGAGAATCAATAAGAAAATTCTCGGAAAGATTAGATCAAAACTCTGCATCCTCTGAAAGTATGAGGTCAAGTAGTCACTCCACCGTGTGACCGTGGGTTCATTCAAACAAAATCTCAGTCTTAAAACAACACATTTTCAATACTATCACACAACAACGAATGAAAGCTTTACAAATAAGAATGAATTCAGAACAAAGACAAATACCAAGGACTAAGTCAAAAGGAGATGTGCCAACGTTAGAACAATGAAATACAGCTCAGGTAAAAGGTATAGTAATTACAAAGTTAGTTGGAATATTCAAATAAGGATCAATATTGTTCATGGAGGGATTTTCATATCAGTTATTCTGATACACTTAGAGAGTTAAATAAATAGTAAATAAATTTGAATTTTAATCGGTTTTCTATGATTATTATCATCTAAAAGACTTACTTTCTCCGTATAAATAACGATATCTAACAATACGTTAATAATTTTTAAAGTACACATAATTCCACATAACAGACCATCTATATCCTGTTAATTACTTTCTGAATAATATCCGTTTTCTTTGAGAGATAGTGAACTGCAGTTATTTATAATGAAAAATAACTATTAAACACTCTTAACATCCGTTTGGCGCGCATATATGATATTCAGGGTACCCATCAAAGGACATTTGAGAACCGTGCACTAGTTCACTCCGTCCTACATTTCAGCTGTAAGATATGGACATTGAACATAAGTATGAAAACAGTTAACGGGAATTAATCATAGGTATCTTCATTCAACTCTTCATAGAGCCATATGGTCAGGCAAGGAGTAGCAGTGGCAGTAGATAAGGAGAGGCTATGTCGTGAATTGGCAGAAGTTAGAATTCATGGGCCATTGGATCGGGTCCCAGTGGCTTAGCGGTATGCGAGCTCGCCTTGTAACCAGAAGGTCCTGGGTTCGAACCCTTGTGGTCAGCGCCTACTTCTGAAGAATCCCAAACTAGGACGAAACGGTTGTTCAGTACTCCCAGGTTTCCCAATGGTTCTCTAACTAATGTTAGCTCATGATGAAATCCTGTAACAAATCAAGTCCCTACAAACCAACACTGGAAGTCATTCCATTAGATTGTGAAATTCAGTCAGCTGAAATGAGCATAATATGTATAACACATGTCGAGCCACTGACTTCCTTGTCCATCAGTATTAGACTAAATAGGACTAGGTTGAAAAAGAGTTATAGGTGGTCGTGTCAAAAAAATAACATTAATCCATGAAATTTCTGACTGTTGGTTCGAACCACCTAGCGAGGTAGGTGTAGACTGTTCGGATAGGGTACTATGGATTCTCAGAAGCGGTGGTTAACCAGTGTTGATAACATTTCCGAAGTGTGCAGTAAGTTAAACTGATCCAATTTTTAGCAAACTTCTATACTGATAAGTCAATGAGTCTTTTTGTTTACAAGATCATTTTCCTAAATAATACCAATTGAAATTCATATTTTTTTTATAAATATTGTATTCTATAACCATGAAAACATAAGAAAAGTTTAGTCAAACACTTTAGACCTATAATATAATTATAAAAATGATTATAATGGTATTCTTTTCACATTTAGAAAGCTTTTCTCTTTATATATAACAAAAATGTTTTATATATACTTTACAGTCAGGACTTTTAACTATATTATTAGGTGAAAATAAAGTTATTCATTCTGATTCACCTGCTTTTATTAATTGTATACAAGTAGGAGGAGTAAACTAATTTCATAGTTCATTGTTTTAAGGACAATAAGTAAGCGTTCATATCTGAAAAGGTAAACATGTACGCCAGATGGTTTATCTACAAATTATTCTTATTAATAAGCCTTTAGCTATCCATTAATTTTTTCTAGAAAAAATTGTCATGCATAATTCTTTACTCAGTCATCAGTGACTAGTACAAAACTGTTTCAGTTAGTTTCACCTTCTTTCTTTGTGAACATGATTACAATAGAGATAGAAGCACCTGTGCAGTTACGTGTTAGTCATTCACATAAGAGTTTGGCGAAACGCTTGATGATTATGGTCAACCTCTGAGTCTCATAGTTCTGTTTGCTGAATACTCAATTACTGGTTTGAAAGCAGCAAGTTCGAGTCCCTCTTTTCCTTCAGCTTTCGTTTCACCTTCAGTCAACATCTCCTATATACCTAGGAGTCTGCTAACCGAAGGCTCTTTTCTCATATAATCTCAACATCAATTAGTATAGTCTTGATTTCTGGTTACAAATTCAAATGTTAAAAAAGCCCATAGCCAATACACATTTATACCCTTGAGTTCACTAATTTATATTTTCAATGAAACATGTTTTAAAATACCTGAAATTACTAAAGTCCAATAAGCCTTATTTATTGCTATGACTTAAAGATATATCCTCCTTTATTCGCCCTTCCGAACATATTTTGACCTATAAATGTCGAAAATGTTAAATAAAAGGTTAAAAGTGAATGTCTAGTCTAGTTTATTGATTTTTGTCTTCATAATATGCAGTGTCTCTTTCAAACCGTTAAAAGTGTCTCTCTCCCTAAAGAATATATATATATCTATATACTCAGAACAAAAATAGTTAGAGTGAACAATTGTTTTCGATGAATTCTTCTTCAGGCTCTGCGATTATAAATCCATTAGTTTGAGCATACAATAGCCAGTAAGGGTAAGTGAGAATCATTTCAGGAATGTGCTGTGGAACAAGTATTAGGTGGGATGGAACAATAGTCAGTTAATTTTGAATATGCATGGTCAATGAGAACATGAGATAAAATGATATGAAATCATTTATATATATATATATATATATTTCTGACTTTACGACTTCCTGACCTTTCTTATAATTTCTATTACCTTAGGTTTAAGTTATGCTTTTTAACTTATCATATTTACGAAATCCTGTTCATTTCACTTCACTAAATCATTATTACTACTATTTGATAATCAAATAAATTACAATTATATTTCAATACTTACACCCAATGATAGGTTTTTGTTTTTGGTAATATTTCGAGCAAAATTACTGCCCGTGATCACACCCATTAATATATGATAATCGTTCACCAATAGTACTTTTAAGTTTACACCACATCATTATGATTATTTCACAATCATTATTACTGTCGTTACTTTTACCCCTGAACTCACATCTAGTCCATCTCATTCAGTAGCGTTCATATTGTCTCACACATCACTGATTTCACTCAACCTCAAAACCTGTACTTTTGTTGACTATATATATAAATACACACATTATTAAATTATTTCATTTCATGTTCTCATTGACCATGCATATTCAAAACTAACTGACTATTGTTCCATCCCATCTTATACTTGTTCCACAATACACTTCTGATATGATTCTCATTTGCCTTTACTGGCTATTGTATGCTCAGATTAATGGATTTATAATCGTAGAGCCTGAAGAAGAACTCATCGAAAACAATTGTTCGCTCTAAATATTTTTGTTCTGAGTATATTTATGAGTGGAATCCCGTGCTTTTACATATTTAGTTGCTGATTTATGAGCAGTAGCTGATCTCCGGGATCAAGTTAGATTCTATAGTAGACTTGTGTCTCCATTTAATAGAACAGTGATATTTTTGTAGTGCTTTGCCTTCTCAGCTTTAGGTGTTTCATTGATAGGACTTTCAATGTCAACTCAATCCTCATATTAAGCGGTACTTCATGAGGAATTTCTTGTTTAGCTACTGTACCATGATAAACTACAGCGACAGTCTAAGGGTGAAGTCTTAATATTGAATGTAAAGTTTCATGATCACAGTAATTTGTTTCTGACGTAGGCAGGACGCATCGGTCTTTGCAGGTTAGGGCTACAGAACACATCCCAAAGTGGCTGCAACAACAAATAAAGTCACCGGATACAACTGATCCCGGAAATAGATATCCAACACCATCTACAGCGAAAACATTATAGAGACGGGTCATAAGGTTGATTTCAATAATCCCTTTAAACCCATTTGTAAAACAAGGCTGGGACACATATATAAATTCTCTCAAGCTTTGGCCATAAAAAGGCTTAAACCTGCCTTATGTGACCAAGTTATTTGTTATCACTTCAAACCTGCCTTGGTAGTCCAATTAAGAACCAAGGTTCAATTTACTTCATAATATTTTCAACCCCTTCTTTGTTTTTCTTCTTTCTTTCTTACCCACAGTGCGTAAAATAAATTCTTACCCACACCTTTGCGTCATTTCCTTACCCAGTATTTGTGACCTTGACCTGCACACAATCTGACCTGTATTGTAATAATTCATGCCTTCTTGCCTTCTATATAATTGTGTATGACAAGCACGTATGTGATCAGAATGTCCGAAATGTGTTGCGCAAATGCACTACACTTTTCAGATAAACTAAGTCGTATTATGTTGTCAAGATTCACTAATATAAGTAGTTGAATACTATCTCCATCAAGCAGCAGTGATTACAGCTGACAGCTTCGAAGTTTCACTCGCTTCTACCTGTAGTTATTTTAAAAAGTCGGTTGCATCGAAAAAATTTCTTTCCGACGAAGTCATCTACTAGGCTGTACATTCGTGTATTTATGATAAATGGGTGGGAAAGTTCCAGAATAATTTCCGGTCAAGGGTCAAATTAATAAGAATTACAATTAGGAATTAAAATGCC